GGCCCCCCGCCGACACGACTACTGGCTGTTGGCAGGAATTGTCACGTACCCTTTGACTTGGGAGCATGCCTCCTGCCGTCGGGTGGCGGGGAGCTGATGAGGCGAGGCAAGGGAGGCGTCCACGGGGCATGGGAGCTGGGGTGACGGTGCGGTGATGAGCAGGGAGGGGGGTTTGGCAGCGCAGTGTCGCTGCGGGGCAGTGGGCATGCTGTCAGCTGGCCGGTTCTTCCCTTGACACTCCCTCCGCACCAGTCACGGCTATGCCCGATGGCAGGACATCCAGAATGACCCACGTTACGTGATCCTGAATGAGCCATTCAAGTCGGAGATACACAAGGGGAACTACCTCGAGATGAAGAACAAGTTCCTTGCCCGGCGGTTCAAGGTGAGTTGCAAGTCCAGGACTTGTGAGTCCTTACCAGCGGGGAGGACCAGAGCGGTGCCCCAAAGCTGGGGGGGAGCCCACCAGCGCCTTCTGGGAGCGCAACAGGGAGTGGTTGCAAGCTTTGCGAGGGGCTTGTGGTTGCCAGAGGAGAGCAGGCACCCAGCAGCCGGGGCTTGATCCCGGGGAGCTCGCAGGCTCTGCAGCATGCTGCACGGGACCAGGCTGGCTGCCCTGGGCTCCTCTCTGCGAGTGGGCTGGGCTGGGTGCTCTGCCCGTTCCCAATGTGTGTGATGCTGTGGAAATGCTGCCCACATCCCTTTCTGGGACGCTCAGCATCTGAATGGGCCCACATGTGGGATAAGAAAACATAAGGGCTAAGCCTGTTTCCCCAGGAGCTTCTGGGAGTGAGGCCAGTGGGGTGCACGGCAGGGCAGAGGCTCTGCTGGCACAAACCGCGTGGGCAGCTGGAGCCTGCGGAGCGGTACTGGTTTACGCTTGTGTGGGATCTAGTCCTGAATCCTTCCCCTCCTGTACCTCCCAGTTGCTGGAGCAGGCCCTGGTGATCGAGGAGCAGCTGCGGAGGGCTGCGTACCTCAACATGACCCAAGACCCCAGTCACCCGGCCATGGCATTGAACGCCCGTCTGGCTGAAGTGGAGTGCCTTGCCGAGAGCCACCAGCATCTCTCCAAAGAGTCCCTGGCTGGGAACAAGCCCGCGAACGCCGTCCTGCACAAGGGTGCGTGCTGGCAGAGTAGGGGCAGGAGCCTGCCCCAGGGAACGGTTTGCCATCCTGACCGTGGGGAAATCCAGCCGGGAGGTTGTCCCTGTCTCGCGTTCCCTTGGCCAGGAGCTGCCTGCTCCTCCCCAGCTTGCTTTGCCGGCGAGGGCACCGGAAAGCGGCACGCCACTGCTGCAGCTGGTGGTGGCGGGGGTCCGCAGTGCTCTTTGCCATCAGCTCCTGGCTGTTGGAGCTCAACAATCCCCGGGGCTGGGATGCCAGGGGTGCTCCCACCTCTGCCGGTGGTCTGGTGGGCATCCCCCCGACCTGAGCCCTACCTTGCTCTGCTCGCAGTGCTGAACCAGCTCGAGGAGCTGCTGAGCGACATGAAGGCTGATGTGACGCGCCTGCCCTCCATGCTGTCCCGCATCCCACCCGTGGCCGCCCGGCTGCAGATGTCCGAGCGGAGCATCCTCAGCCGCCT